ATGGACCGGCCAGCATGCCGCCTTGTACCAAATGGTCGAGAAGATTGTTGTGTTTATCGCCAGGGCCCTGCCCACAATGGAGGTGTGCAGGCCTTTCCAACTCGCAAGGGATGCCAGGGCTTGCTCCACCAGCGTCGCTCCATGGTCCCTCAGAGGTCCCAGTGTCGTGAGATGGACGCCCAGTATCCTGATTGCCTCCTCTTTTTGTTTCCATGACACGACCGACTCCAGCGGTGGGGGCTCCCCCCTTGGGTGTAACCACCAGGAGGGCATTTATTGAGGATCTGTTAGCCTTTATGAGGACCGTGAGATCATCGTCGAACATGGAGGTCATGGGGATGAGGTGGGGGGGGATCTCAGGTACGTTTATCTTTTCTATTCCTGGGTTTGCCCTTATGGAGGCAGCAAGTGCTTCAATGACTATGACGAACAGCAGGGGGGCAATGGGGCCGCCTTGCCTCACCGATCGCTGGAGAGGAAAGGGGCTAGAGAGGTGACCATTTACCATTATGTTAGTTGTGGCTGTACGGTGGAGGGTGTCAATCCATCTCCGGATGTTTGGCCCGAAATTCATTTTGAGGAGGTATAGGTCCAGGAATGTCCAGTCAACATGGTCGTATGCTTTCTCAAAGTCAATGAAAAGGACCGTCGCTTCCTTACCTCTCTGACGCGCGTATTTCACTGTCTCATTCACAAGTAATATGTTGTCTTGTATGTTTCTCCCGGGGATGAAACCGGACTGATCCGGGTGAATGAGGTGTGTCATGTTTGGCAGCATGCGGTTTGTCAACGCTTTGGCCACCATTTTGTAAGGCACCGGCAACAGCGTTATTGGTCTATAATTCCTAATTTCCTGTTTTGCCCCTTTTTTATACAGCAGCGTAGTCACTCCCTGGTTGAGAAGCCCTCCGAACGTGCCCTCTGTAAGGACAGCGTTTGTGTATTCCATGAGGTCGGCGCCCAGCAGGGGCCATGTGGCTATCTAGAATTCTTTGGGGAACGAATCCAGGCCCGGGGTCTTCTCATCTTCCATCTGTTGGAGGGCTGTATAGATTTCAGAGGAGGACAGAGGGGCATCCATTGATTCCTTTTGGGCTTGGGTGAGCTCGGTTTGGAGATTGGCCAATAGTTGTTGCCTAGCGTTGTGGAGTTGTTCTTCTCCTCTCCGGGCCGTTCTTGAGGTGAATAGATCGCGGTAATATTTGGCGGCATAATCAACGATCGCATATGGATTCGTGGCTTGGGGCTGGTCGCTGTCCAGGGGGTGGGCAAGGGAGTTGATAGTCGCTTGTCTGCCTCTGGCTTTAGCTTTTGCAAAGAAGGTTTTAGCCATCGTGCTGTCGGTGTGCACCCGGTTGATTTTTGCTTAGACTCTCCATGCCTCCGCCTGCTCGTCCAAGTACTCTTGAAGTCTGTCTCTTGCTTGTTGTAGTCGAGCGTAGGTTTGGTTGTCAAGCGGGTGTGTGGAGCGCTGGTCGTCCCATTGCTGCAAGGTGTTGAGGAGGTCTTCCAGGATCAATTTCCTTTCCCTGGCTCTTTTGACGGAGAATTTTTTGACACAGTCATGGAAGGAGGGCAATTTGAGCAGGGATGTGTTGAGTTTGAAGAAGCTCGGCCCCCTTGCAAAGGCCGGGTGGAAAACCAGGCCTATGGCGATCATCGTGTGGTCAAAGGAACGGCATGGGGACACAGGGAAGATCTCGGCCACCCCCAGTGGACCCACGAGGTCTTCGGAAATTAGAATGAGGTCTATCCTGGAATTGGACAGGCCTCCATCTCCCCTTGATCTTGTACAAGTGAAACTTTGCTTGGCCGGGTGGAGCTTTCTGATGGAGTCCACCAGTCGGAAGTCAGCCATCATCTGACTGAAGACCAGGGCGTCCAGCCCTAGCTGAGGTTGGGATTGTGGTTGGCTGTCCGACGTGGATGAGCTCCTTCTATCTACACTAGGGTCCGGTGCAAGGTTAAAATCTCATGCCAGGATGAGGGGGATGTCAGCAGGTATGTTACGAATAAGATCTAGAAAAAACTCAGCTCTTTTTGTTGCTGTGTTCGAGGCATATATACAAGCGAGGCCCACTTCCTCATCCCCGTTGCTAGCTTTAAGATGCACCCACCTTCCGTGGACTTCATCCGCCAACACCGACAGGGGTTTTAGTCTCGATGTGGGTGGCAGCCAGATTGCCACACCGGCCGAATGAGATCTGGATGAGAACGCATTGAAAGCGGTGTATGGCCAGACGTTCGTCGCTTTTGCTGCATGTGGGGGGGTGTTCATGAGGTGCGTCTCCTGTACGCAGACTGCATTGGGCCAGTAACGGGGATCGGACGTTCGTATCATATTCTAGATTGCTGCTTTTTTTTGGTTGGTTGCTGCAACTAACCCGTTCACGTTTATTGAGCGGATATCCAAGTCGGCTTTGAGCGGGTCTTTTTCCCATTGAGGGGGCCTCCTTAGTCTAGGCGGGACCTGCGGCTCCAGAGGGGCCACTGGCCTGGAGTGCTCAGCATTACGGGGAGGCACGTCGATTGGGGTAGGAGGGTCGTTGGACATTTTGGACTGCCTTTGCGTAGCCTGTCCCCTCCCTGATTAGTAGGTTAGTTGCTATGCCCCTGCATCGCACTAGACATGAGTCCGTGTGAGAGGATCACTGCAATTATGTGTCTAATGTGATATGCCACCCACACCTGGCAGGTTCTAAACCTTGTTATCGGCAGCTGTTGCAGCTCTTCCTCCTTTAGCCATTCCGTCTGGTCTTGAAGACACTTATTGGTTGTCACCTGAGCGGGTGGTATGTGCCAAATGACGATATGAATCTGTGGAGGAAAGGGGAGGCCTGACGGGGAAAAGAGGCATTTGGGAACGTCTTCGGCGCACGTGTCGTACAACTGTTGCAGGTGGGAAGCCACCTGCTGACAGTCCAATTTGCCTTTCCATCCTAGAAGAGAAAGCCCTGCAGGCAGCTTAAGATACTGCTGCCCTGATTTTAACAAACCAAAAATTGGGCGTTGGGTGGGCTGGTCTTGGGAGAGCAGGATGAGCAGAGTTGTTCTTCTCAGATTTGCAAGGTCCCAGTTTTCCTGTCTCTCCAGCCAATCTTTCATTTTCCCCCTGGTGGTGGTTCTCGTGTGTCGCCCACCCTCCGGTCGGTTTACCTGTGTCGGTATTGTATCGGGGCCCGCGAGCCTGCTCATGTCCTCCTCCTGCTCCAGCTCCTGTTCTTCGTCCGAAGTGTGATCGCCGTCCTCCCCTTCTGAGGACGAGAGGAGATCAATTGGCATATCGCGATTCTCAGTGAGCGTTGTCTGTCCCGGGGAGGTGAGGAGTGGCGGCCATTCATCCTTCCCCTGTTCAGCAGAGGTTGTGTTGGACGGGGGGATGACTGCAAGGAGGTGAGGCGGAGGGACTCTCCGCGGGTGTTGGTGGATGACGGCAGCAAGTGGGACCGGTCCAAGTTCCTCCATCTTTTCATTTCTTGGGGGGTTGTTTGGCACATCGGCAGCAGGCTCGTCTGATCCAATTTTGAACAAGCTACTACGGACTACCTTGTCAACCACCCCACTAGTGAGGTAGGCTATGTGGGCCCAATCAATGTCTTTCTGGGACGGGAATGCGTCGACTGTCTCCACCATTGGAGGGCAGGTTGCCACCAAGTTGGCTATGGTCGCCCAGTAGTGCCTTGGGAGGGATTTTGCAACCTGGATCGTGGTGTGTTTCAAGTAGTCCTGCAAGGCCCAGTCTGCAATTTTCCTGAGCCTGTGTTTCACATTCTGCGTCTTTGAAAGGTTCACCTCTTGTGGAGGGTGTTTGGGGGGAGGTTCCACTTCCATGTGGCTCCGTTCGCCCAGTGGTCTTTCTGCTTCCAGTGCTGGTAGCAGGTTGGGCTGGGTTTGGGAAGTTGCAATTTCCATGGGGGCCGGTGGTTGAGGGCGGTCTTCCTCTCCGTCCCGTAGGTGTCGGGTGTGGTCAGTATCGACGTGTCCTCCCCGCTGTTGGTGAGGCAGTGGGATTTGGGGATCAAGACCCAAGATCTCATGGAGGGGCCGACCTGTGTAGAGCCATGCACAGGTATTCCTCACCTGCGACCTCCACATTGTATAACCCGGGCCGGATAGGTGTTGTGCCAAGGATATTGACTCCGTGAATTCATAGCCCTGAGGAAGAATTCCCAACCTCTGATGAATTTGTGCGGCCCAATGAATGACCGGGCCGCCGTACTGAGGCATATCAGGGGGGAGGGGCGGGACAAGGGTCACAGGGGGCACGGTGTCCACATCCATGTCAGGGGGGAGGGGGGGGACAGTGGCCACAGGGGGCACGATATCTACCTCCATGTTGTGGGGGGTCGTTGCGCAGGCTCCCCTGTCTCCGCCCTGTTGTGGGTCCGTTTCCATTTCTGTGGTGGACTTATCCTGTTGGGGTTTGCTATTGTCCCTAGGGTAGCAGTGGCAGTCCTCTGTGGGCTCCGTTTGCTGCTGTTCGGGCAGTGGGCCCCGTGGTTCTTGATCTGATCAGATCGCCAGGAACCCCCCTCCTGTGGGATGCATGCACTGTTCCCCCATTTCAACCGTGATTTATGTTACCTGCAGGTGCATGGGAGCGTGCAATGCGAGCGGGCCTTCACTATTTTTTGTAGTTGTTATCGGGGCCAGTTCGTTCCCAGTCTTGAGATAGCACTGTGTCGGGGTGCCCCTGGCGTGTGGCTGTGATCCTTTTTCCGAATCCATCATCTGGCTCGGTTCGTCCCCCGTGTTTTGAGTGGCCCGTTGCTGTATTGACAGTGCTTCAAGAGCGGCCCCTCCTGTCATTTGTTGTCGGTCCTGCAGGTCCTCGCTTGCCTCCTGCAGGAGGCTACTCCTTCGTGTGCGGTGATTTGGGGGTTGGCTGGGCGGATGGAGGAGGATTTTTTTTATCGCCACTCACCTCGGAAACTACCTCCTTGAATCGGGGATCAGCCAACGTGTTGTCACGGGGAGACTGAGGAAAGACTGACATGTGCCGTTGATCAGGCAGTTTATTCAGGCTTGATGCTGTTCCCGTGTTTGTCGGAAGGCCCACAACTATCGAATTTGGGAGGAGGGTTTGCAGGTCCTGCGTGTGGTGGTGTTTCTGTGTGTGATTAGGGGGGGAGGCAGGGACCACCTCTTTCGAGGCGACATCCGGCGAGGAGGATATTGCGAGCTGCTGATGCAGGATTCTGTTTTGGTCTGTTGCTACCTCCCCCTCTACCAGGAACCAAACTGCTGTTGAATTTGGAAGGGGGGTTTGCAGATCCTGCGTGTGAGAGTGCTCGTTTGTGGGGCTCTCTCCGGTCTGTATGAGGGCTCTGATTCTGGACGACGCATTCTCTATTTTCCCGTATAGGGCCATCGCCTTCACCTGTCCGTTGACTTTCACCTTCACCTTCTCCAGGCCTGACGGCTCCACCTGCTTGGGGAGGGCTGAGGGGTTCGGGCTGGGGGGAATCGGAGGGTGTCCGCAGGGAGATTGTCGCCCATTTGTGGACCCAGTGAGACATGCGGATGTGGGCTCCCATCCGGGGATGTGGCTCCGTGCTGGTTTGTTACCTGGCCCTGTCTGTGTATAGCATCAGGCTTCGCAGCAGCAGCGTCGATTGTTGTGTTAGCGTCAGGGGCGCGAGATTGTGGAGCCAGTGCGAGTGCAGTCGTCTGGGGAATATGTGTCCTTCCGCCTTTCTGCAGCGGGATTCCTGTGGCCTTGCTTGCCTCTCCAGCATCATCGATTGTGATTCCGGGTTTGGCCTTATCGGTTTTCAGACCGCTGTGCGGGACAGGGCTGTGAGGGGCAACCGCGACCGCCATCGTTCTGGAATTCAGCTGCGGGGCTCCCGTGGAGTTGTGTGCGGCTGTTGTCACCTCCGAATTGACTGTCCTTCGAGCAATCAACGACGGGACAGTCGTGACCTTGAGCATCTTCTCCGCAGGGCCGTTGTCGTTTCCTGCCTTGCTCACAAGGGCAAGGGCACCACTGCGGGGAGGAGCTGTGGCCGCTGTCCTTTCTGAATTATCTTTCTTGTGTACCACCACGGCAGCATTCATGTTGACTCCTGGCTTGTTGAGAAGGGCATGACCATGGGAAGCTGGTACGACAGCAGACGTGACTGAATTCACATTTCCCCCTCCTTCCAGTACCGGAGCTCCCGTGCCACATTCTCCGGTCCGTTTTTTTGTCTCCATTTTGCTGGCCCAGAGCGGTTCTCTGAGGACCTGTGAGAAAGTGGAATTTGCAAGATGGGTCCTTTGTGGGCCAAGGCGGGTGATCTCATCTGCTGGACCGGATGTGCCTGGCCGGCAGACCGTCTTCGGAGAAGCAGAGGGGGGTCTTCATCCTCTATGTCATTTTCCTCCACGAGGATGACCACCTTTGTTTGTTCCAACTCCGGTCTCTTTCCCATGTCTTGTCCTCCGACTGCCTGTTGACCCCCCTTTACAGCTGCCCTTGCATCGTTCTGCTCCGGGGAGGTTGCCATTCCCTTCAACTGGGAGGTGTTGTCGTTCACCCGGGATTTGCTGGTGAGTTCATTATCCGGGCGAAGTCTGTGTCCAGGCTGCTCTCCCAAGGTTGCCCTTTGTGTGTGATTCTTACCCGACTGTGCGTGATTCTAACCCGACTTCGGCCCACCTGTTGTTTCAGTGGGCTTTCGTGGTGGAATGGTGGGCGTTTGTGGGGCTGGTTGCTGATTGTTGTTCCGGGCCGGGTCCTTCGTCGGGGAGCGGTCTGTCGCCGGGATTTTCCATCCGTCCGACCAATGTTGGGGGGGACTGTCCCCTTCCTACTCCCATTTCCCTGTCATTTTCCCAGAGTCTGTCTTGAATACCCACCCTTTGAGCAAGGGGCCTTCCGGCAAGTAGAGTCTTCCGAGGGGTGTTGGGTGACCAATCCTCTGGGAAGATTCCTGTGGTTGGTTGGGCAGGCGTCGTCGGTGTAGAGATGGCCTCTACCTTTGCAGACATGGCACCAAGGATTCTGGGGGTGACTAAGTGGGACTACCCCCATCTTCCCGTCTGCGTGGTAGTGCCAGTCGTCCAGGAGAGGGAATCTCTCGTCCGGGTGCCAATCCACGGCTATAAGCAGGGTGTCGTCTCTCTTTGCCAAAAAGTGGGGGAGACCGTTAATGAAGCCTTTGATGGGCGCAATTTGTTCTATCATTTTGAGGATCTCCCCCTGAATGTGGATCGGTGCAAAGCTGAACTCCACCCAGTAGTGGCTAGCCATGAGCTGGAGGCGTCTCTCGTTCGGAGAGAGTGGCTTGTCCGGTTTCCATTGTTGGATTCGCACTTGCGCTCCCCTGAAGGTCGGGTTGCGCAGACGGAAAAGGTTTTTCTTGTCTATCAGATTAAGGGCGAGCACAGTGACCGTGGAGATCCCGAAGGATTCTACCAGAAAATGGTCAGACGCGTCTGCCGCCGACATCTTTTGGGAACGAAGAATACCAAAAACCCATTTGAGTCTGTCATTGAGGAGGGTGGACAGGGCCATCATCGGGAAGATGAATTGGACTGTGTGCTCGTCGTACACCTGATTCCTCACTGCCAGGGCGTGAGGGGAGATGATCGAAAGGGGGCACAGTGTGTTATTTCTTACTTAGACCCTCCTTGTCGCTCTCCTGTGCAGTTTTTGAACGAAATGGAATTTCAGCGGATGCATCGAGTCAAGACCCAAGGGGGGATTGTTGTCGGATATGAGGGCTGTGTTAAGTGAAGTGCCTCCTGGTTGTGCTGGTATGCTTCCGGTCGGATCCTTATTCAATCCCCTTTTGATCATGTCTGCCCACGTTCTTCTCTCAAATGGATGGGTTGTTGTCCCCCTCTGGGCTGAGTTGTTGCCCGGGGGGGCTCGGTAACGCTGTTGTGGTGAGTCGTTGTTCTTCTCCCCATTCGACAACGGGGACTGTTGGAGCGCGTCGTGCTGTTTTTTGTGCATCGTTTTTACAATTCTATTCAGCCTTCGGCTTGCCATTATCCTTCCCTTCCTCCCTAACATTTGAGGTGGCATGCCTTTGAATGGGCGGTCCGTTACTCAGTGCATTTGAGGCCACGTGGCATGCGTGAGTGTCCCCATGTTCCGGTTGCGTGGCCAGACTGTTTTGGCCTTCATTTTGGGAGGGGGGAGGATGGAGCGGTGTCGTGGCCATTCGTACGTTAATGCGGCTCGATTGGCCGAAGTGTGTTAGTGATGAATGAGGTGAGTGGGTAAGCCAAGGAGGAGTGCTTGGGGCGGGAAGGGAGTTGGATCGTAGCCTTTGGGGGGTCGATCAGCCAAGATCTGTTAGTGATTGACAAGGTGGATAGGTGGGCCGAGGAGGAGAGGGGGAGGGAGTTAGA